TGTAGGTTGTTAAACACTATTAGGTTGAAAACCCCAAATAAAAAGCGGACAGGAAACAGGAAGTCAGTTTATGGACCCGAGTTCATCAGGAAAGGACCAATCGAAGGGTCGGATGGGTCCTCAGAAATACAGCTAAACGCTGGAACTAAAATGATAAAACCCGCTCCTCAAGGGGAGGAGTTAATCCAGAGAGGATTTAGTTTTTCTGACGGTGGAATGATAATAAAACACTGGGAAAAAGAAGAAAAATCAGGGGATGAAGACGTCTGTCCTCTTCATCGTCTCTGACCGCCGCAGGTCTCCTCTATAGATGATCTTTGCAGCAGGAGGTCTCACTCTGTCTGTTTAACTAGAGACGGATGTTGCAGATTATAGAAGCTGCTCCATGCGTCGATGGAAAGGATGCGTCACTGAAGGTTCCTTTGTGTCCAAAGATGCTTTAACTGAACAGAATAAGACATTCAATGACTGGACATTGGACATCGGACTCCATCCAGGTTTATGTTTAAGATTCCTGCAGGGATCCGGATGAAGATGATCCAGTTTTTAGGGTCCAGGATGACTTCCTGTCTATAGAGTGATGAAACGGCGTTTTTCAGTCCATCTCTGATTCAGCTGCTGTTTCCTCCTCCGCAGGACGACATCGTCAACGAAGTGACCGCCGAGCACCTCTCCATCTGGCCGTCCTCTCTTCCAAAGTGAGTTTTACCGCGGGGGGAGGGGGAAGCGCGGCGTCGCACGGCGCCTCCGTGTCGCTCTGCAGCGTCTCTGACCCGCTTCCTGCTGTTTGTGCCGAGCAGCATTCAGGCGGTGGACGTGGAGGCCGTGGCGGTGACGGTCAAAGAGCTGGTGACCTACGCCCTCACGCTGAACCCCAACAGCCAGTCGTGGCTCGTCACGCAGGCGGACATCTACTTTGGTGAGCGGCGGTAGAAGCCTTCTGACCATCAAACCGCTTCAAGTTAGAGTTAAACACAATCCACTGGACTTTGTTTCCATATTGGAAGACGTTCTGCTTCCCATCCTGGAAGCTTTCCTAATTGAAAATGTCTGGATTAGCGTTTAGTTCCAGACTTTTATAGAGATGCTGAACTAAAGCCTTTTAACGGCTTAGAAAACCTGCAGATTGAAACTGGAAAACCAGCTCCACCCCTTAATAATGGGAGTTATTGAGGTCGTTATCGGCCTGCAGTACCCGATACTGGTCCATTCCTCTGAAAAGTTCATTTTCAGAACAAAGTTCATATTAAGTTTAATTAATTAATCCAGCCATTTTGGAAACCAAGTCTTGTGGATTTTTTTTTAACTGAGAATCTCCACCTCAAGGTGAATCTCCTTCCTACATGTTGTTGCAGTGACCAATCAGTACTCAGCTGCCCTCAGCTTCTACCTGCAGGCTGGAGCCGTTTGCTCAGACTTCTTCACCAAACCCGTCCCTCCTGACGTTTACACTGACCAGGTGAAACCTCACACCGCTTCCCGCTTCTGATATAAAACCACACCTTCTAGTCAGAGCTCCAGTTGAGGGGGGTGACTTTGTTTTTTAACAATCACCCCCTTCTTAAATGACCTTCCCCTGCACTGCAAAAAATCTAAATCTTGATAAGTTGTTTTTTTTTAAATAAGTGCATTTGTTTTTGAATTGAGGAGATAAAATACATTTTATGAAAAAAAACATTAATGAATAAAATAGAAATTGAAAAAAATACCTTTTTTTTATGGAGACATTTTTCAGTTTAATTCTTGATTAAACTTTTTTAATTATTTAAATTTACGAAACGTTCTTTTCAAAAATAATGGAAGATAATTGACTCCATAGTTGGATGAAAGCTCCTGATTGTGAGGTGCATTATGGGAGTTAAACAGCAGGGGGCGCAGTGGGTCGGACCTGCAGAACCGTAACGGCCCAGTTTGTTCCTCAGGTTCTGAAGCGGATGATCAAGTGCTGCTCCATGATGAACTGCCACACGCAGGTCAGAGGTCACAGCTCTAACGTCTGATCGGGGGGGGGGGATGGCGGTCTCTCTTCCTCCGGCTGAACGTTTCTTCTTCTTGTCCGACTCTCCAGGTCGCGGTTCTGTGCCAGTTTCTCCGGGAGGTCGACTACATGACGGCGTTCAAAGCTCTCCAGGAGCAGAACAGGTAAAGCCCCGCCCACATCCGATTCCCCGCCGCTCCGTTCCCCTCAGCCGTCACTAACCGCAGACGCTTTCACAGCCACGACGCCATGGACTCCTTCTACGACTACATCTGGGACGTCACCATCCTGGAGTACCTCACCCGTATCCTTTCTGATTCTGACTCCTCCTCCTGCGCCTCCTCAGAGGAGCTGATGCTGTTCCTCCCTGACTCTCAGCTCAGACATTCACCACAAACGAGGCGAGATGGAGAAGCGACAGATCGCTGTGAGTCTGCAGGAGGAGGAGGGGCTTAGTTACATCACTTCCTCCAGAGATCAATGTGAACCAGGAAGCAGCAGGTTTAACCGTTTGCTCCTCCCGCTCAGGTGAAGGCGATCGGACAGACGGAGCTGAACAGCAGCAACCCGGAGGAAGTGCTGCAGCTGGCCGCTCAGAAGAGGAAGAAGAGGTTCCTGCAGGCCATGGCTAAGCTCTACTTCTGAACACGTCTAATAAACGCTCCGGACTCGCTTAGTGACAGAAAATAAAGATGAAAACCCACGAAGCTGCTGCTGTTATTTCTAATCCACAGACGGACGGTGGAAGACGAGCCAGCGAGGCGCGGCTCAGTCAGGAAGACGACGGCTGATCGGCCGCGTCCTCATAAGAGCAGAAATCTGATTCACATCATTCCGGCTCCTAAAACGCGTCTAAAAGGAAACAAATCTGATCCAGATTATAGTCTGACTATTCCCTGGATTATAAAGATTATGTTTATTTTAAGGAGAACTCTAATAGTCCGGATTATAATCTGAGGCCTGCTGTTCTCTCAGGAACGTCTTCCTCCTCGTATTTCCACAGTTTTATCGTTTTAATCTCAGCGTTTAGCCGTAGTTCTGAGGACCATCCAACCCTTCATCAGGTTCTGTTCCGGATGAACTCGGGTCCATAATCCCACTTCCTGTTTCCTGTCTGCTCGCTTTTTATCAGGTGCTAATTATCTGTTTTCAGCTTAAAGCTGCTGTTTTATAAAAAAACAACTTCAAGTTTCACCACAGAAAAATAAATAATCAGAGGTTTAGGCAGGGGCGGAGCTAGATGGGGGGCCTGGGGGGGGCCATTGCCACCCTTATTCAATCATTGGCCCCCCCTACTATTTATTTCCCTCTAAAACAGACAGTGGAAGCAGTAATAATGTCAACATTCAAAAAATTTACATTTTTCATAAATTAAAAATTACTTGACAACAAAAACTGGTGAATTATGTTCACCAATATACTAACATTAAAAATGAAGGTACAGAATTAAAGCAGAAATAAATGTTTTTGTTTTATTGGGTAAAGAGAAAATGTGTCTCTGCAAATCATCAAGGAGTCTTCAATGAAATCATAGATAAATAACTATTTTAATAAAAATGTATTAATCAGTTTATGTAGATATTAATGCTTGTAAATATCAATTTTATGCAGAATGATTATTGATAAAAATAGGTAAGTAATGACAAAGGAAAAGATGTTTGCCCAAAACTCAAACCTGAAAGAATTTATCCACTGTACCTTTAATTTAGAAAGCACAGATGTTTGAATATTTTCATCTATTTGTCAGCTAAGGCTGTAGGAAAGTTTAGTTTGTCTTTATTTAGAAAATATGGATGTTTTGCTTTAATTTTCCTGTTTGAACAGTGTAGATTGACCTTGAGGTTCTGGTGCCGATCCACTATGGCCCCCCCTCAGTGTACACTGGTTATTGCCTGGCCACCCTTATAAAACATTTCTGGCTACGCCTGTGGGTTTAGGAAGATAAAACTGGTGAGAAAAGAGGTTTCAGAATAATGAAATGTGATCATGACAGACAGGAAGTAAAAGGAAACGGTTAAAACGCGAAGAGAATGAAGGGAATTCATTTTTTCACTTCCAACTCGTGGAAGAAAAACGATCTTTTTGGAATCTGCCTTTTTTCTAACAGCGAATTTTAAACACTGAATTTTTATCTGGTGAAAATTCAGCTGAAAATGTGTTTAACAGGAAAAAACTGCTAATTCAGCTTCTTTCAGCTGGGAATAAATCT